GTACTTTTCAGAAAGTTGCTTGGTGAGCAAGAGTCGTCTAGTGGGGTTTTGGGTAATAGGCTGACCGCAGCCATAAGACTAGAAGAAAGAGTGATGTCCAATAAGAAGATGTAACGTGGAACATTGCCCCCATGTGACACTATGTTTTTGTCACTGCTCTCGTCACCCTCAATGGACGTATTCTCTTCTTTTTTAAGTATTTATTGTGTCTGTTTCTATTACTTAATTATTGTTAATCAGCCTGCATTATTATTTCATTAAGCTAGCGTTTGGACATAGATTTAGTTGAAATTTAAAAAAAAAAATTAAAATAGTTTTAAAAAATAATTTTTGGAAGTTGAAATTATGTTTGGACATGCATTTTATTTGAAAAAAATTTGAAGTTTTGTGAGTGGGAGAACAAGTTTCACCCAAAATTTACCCTAAACTAGATTTTGGGAACTTGAAAAATAATTTCAGAAATTTTTCAAAAATAGATCATTAATCTATGAACAAACAATGTTTTCAAAAAAGATTTGAAAAAAGGGTGCCAAAATATATGGCCAAACGGGGCCTAAATCACTTTAACCATAGTATGTTAATATGATTTAATGTAAACATTATGAATAAGTATTTATCGTGTTCTGATGTGCTTTGGATCCAATTAAAAGGAGTATATTTCAAAAAAATTAGGCGTAATGGTTTCTTGGCCACTTAAATTTGTAGGGCTTTTTAAAGCCGATACATGAACTTTGGATTTTCCCATTTGAACACTTTTACTTGAGAAAATGTCTATTAATAACACCTTTGACCATTGACTATGCTTATGTTGCAATATTATAGCTGATGTGGCAATTTGCGTGTTAATCACAGGTATTAAGCGCGTGAATACGATACATAATTTAAAAAGAAAAGATAAATAATTAATTTATTATATAGAAAAAACAAATTCAGATTATTTTCCCATCCCCGTACACTTACCCCTACCCCTTTCTTTTCTTTACTCATTTTTCGATGTGTTCCGAACATAGCCTGAAAGGGTTCACTACAGGAGACATAAGTTGTAGAACGGGCAAGGACGCCCTTGTGGATCGAGTTGGGAACAAGCGTCTCCAATTATAGGAAGCCAGCTCGAAATAGTGAAAACGCCGGTCACTGAGATTATCGACCAGCCGAGAGGAGATTAATCTGTCTCTGTCAGTGTGTTTTACCACATCGAAATACATACTCTCTCCTGTGTCTCAGATTGTTGAAAAGTTTAATTACATGTCAAATTGTTGAAAAGTATGACTCGAAATACACACACTCTCACATTGTTGTAATGAGAAATTGAAAAGCAACAGTGTTTGCAGCTTTTTAATTTGTTGAATATTTTTGCTGATTTGCTAGAAAAAATCGGGTCAAATTTCAATCATGGCAAAAGTTATTTGACGCTTACTAATTATTCTCTCTGATTTTTGGAACTGGTGATTTTTGTGTCTAAGTTTGTGATTTTTTCTCTATGATTTTTGGTGGTAAAAGGTTGGACTTGAAGGTTTTGCATATGCTTCTTATTTTGTAGGTGAAAAGATGATAAAACAGTGGAAGTGAAAAATATTAAGTGGGAGAGAAAAAAACAATCGCCGGAGATATTTGACAGGTAACATCCGGAGGCTTTCAAGTCGTTTTTCGGTGGGTTCTCAGGGAGTGGAAGGGTTATGTGCAGAAAAAGTTAATTTGACAAAGAAAAAAATAAAAAGAAGTGGGCCCTTGAACATACAGGTGTCCACAAATGTGAATGAATGGAAGATGTGGCCATACAAAATATTAAATTAATTCCATGTCAGCAGCGATTGAACAACACGCACCATAACAAGTGTTTATTAGTAGACATTTTCTCAAGTAGAAGTGTTCAAATGGAAAAATCCAAAGTTCATGTATCGGCTTTCAAAAACCCTACAAGTTTAAGTGGCCAGGAAGCCATTACGCCAAAAAATTATTGGCTCGAACTTACAACAACAACCCAGTAATAATTTCACTAGTAGGGTCTGGGAAGGGTAGAGTGTACACAAACTTTACCCCTACCCATGAGGGTAGAGAGGCTATTTCCGGAAGACCCTCGGCTCAAAAACAAAAGATCTGTAACAACAACAGAAAACATACAAGTAAAATCAGCACCGTAAGTGACAACAAATAAGTGGGAAGGACAATAGTTATGGCAATAATAAAAATTGAAAATAAACTATAAAATAAAAGTAAAAAAATAATAAACAAAAAAATAGAAAGTGTGATGGAACAATAACCGCTAGCAGTCCTATATAAAACACTATGAGACTAGACAGAACAACAAAGGAAAAGCTCAACTACCCCCTAACCCACAACCCTAATGCTCGACCTCCACACCTCCCTATCCAGGGCCATGTCCTCGGAAATCTGAAGTTGCGCCATGTCTTGCCTTATCACCCCGCCCCAATATTTCTTAGGCCGCGCTCAGCCTCTCCTTGTACCTGTCAAAGCCAACCGTTCACACCTCCTAACCGAGGCATCTAGGCTCCTCCTCCGCACATGCTCGAACCATCTAAGCCTCGCTTCCGCATCTTGTCGTCCATGGGAGCCACGCCCACCTTCTCCCGAATATCTTCATTCCTAATCTTATCCAGCCTAGTGTGCCCGAACATCCTCATTTCGGCTACTTTCATCTTCTGGATGTGAGAATTCTTGACTGGCCGACACTCAGCCCCATACAACATGGCCGGTCTAATCAACGCTCTATAGAACTTACCTTTAAGTTTCAGTGGCACCTTCTTGTCACACAGGACTCCAGATGCTAACCTCCACTTCATCCATCCCACCCGATACGGTGCGTGACATCCCCGTCGATCTCCCCATATCCTTGGATAATAGACCCTAGGTACTTGAAACTCTCTCTATTAGGGATGACTTGCGAGTCAAACCTTACCTCCCGGTCTGCTTCCCCTGACACATCGCTGAACTTGCACTCCAAATATTCTGTCTTGGTCCTACTCAATTTGAAACCTTTAGACTCCAGGACCTGCCTCTATACCTCCAGTCTTTCATTAACGCCGCCTCTCGTCTCATCAATCAGATTATATCATCAACGAACAACATACACCAGGGCACCTCCCATTGAACATGGTGTGTCAATGCGTCCATTACTAGGGCAAATAAGAACGGGCTGAGCGCAGACCCTTGGTGTAACCCCATAACTACTGGAAAGGGCTCCAAATCACCTATCATAGTCCTAACCCAAGTCTTAGCTCCATCATATAAATCCTTTATCGCCCTAATATAAGCTACTGACACACCTTTCACCTCCAGGCATCTCCAAAGAACGTCCCTAGGGACCTACCCCATAGGATCGAACTTGAATTCTCTAATTAAAGATGAAAGGATCCTACCCACAAGCAATGCAAAGGATTGACATCCCTTCGCTGAAAGATTATATTGTATTGCTAAATAAATTCTTATGTCTTTAAATATATTTATTATATGTTGACTCTTTTATTTAATTTTTTACATTTTGATATTTCTTGATAAAAATTCTTGCTTCGCCACCCACAAAAGACTGATGAAACTTTGTAGTATCAATTCATCTGAACCATGAACCAAATACTTTTGGCTTAAAAATACAAAGTTATATATACAAATTTAACAAAAACTACAATAAATCATAAAATATAAAAATCTATAATAAGTTATAAATATATAATTTTAAAAATATAGTAAATTTAAGACTTATAACTTTAATAAAAGATTGAAGTGTAAACCTTAAATTCTAAATAGGATTCAATAGTCGGATGTGAAAAGGTGAAAAAGAGAAAGAAAAAGGTCGGCTATTAAAACAAGAGTAATAATATAATAAGTGCAATAAAGAAAAAGAAGGATTCAACGGCAGCTGGAGTAAACAACAAACGAGACCCACTCGTGTGCTGCGCCCACCACCAATACAGTCAAAAGGATATTTTTAGAATAATTAATTATTGCTTGTTCACGAGTCAAAATTCTAAACAAGTTTCTTTTTACTCAAATTTTTTACTAATTTGTTTCCAAATGTATTCCATGCGTCCGAGCTCTTCTTA